GGTTACCTGAGTTCACTTTGAGGCCTATCGTCGCTATTGTCTTGCTCTAATTACATTCAATGAATTACTCAATCACAAAAACGGTGGTAAATCTCCACCAAACGAACAGCCTAGGCTTAGTCCACCGTTCGTTAATTGTCCCCCCTTTCGTATGGGTAGCCGCTCACCCGTTCATTAGGCTAATATATATTTTGTGGGATAATTGGTGTGGGTTGGAGTCCTGGGATAAAAAAGACCAGTCCCCTCGGCGGTTCCCACCAACACCCGCCGGTTCCGCTACAAATGGTGTCAGGATCGGTTCCGCCACAGTATTCTGTTCGGACCAATGGGGGAATTCGGACCATGGGACTCGGACCCATGGTACTTCGGAATATTTTTCTCACAGGAAATCTTTTGAAATTAAGCGCACATTCTACAGAAAGAGCAACAAAACCAACTTCTGTTGGTCTGGCAATATTTTTTATCATTAGTAGGCATAACGCGCTACCAGAAAAGACAAGGCAAAACAATTATGAAAGTTGCACCACACTGCCCCATGTACGGCGAAGTGGTTGTCGGCGAAGTGACCGACACCCCGGGTGTCGGTCGGGTGTCGGGTGTCATGTGCAAGCTACCAGTTCAATTACCCCCCCCCCCCAAAAAAAAAAAGAGGGATATTAATATGGTAACTCACGTTATGGTAGGTATCTTACAATGCAGTCTGTCCACGTTGGTAAATATATAATATTTTGTTTGTAACTATATTCCCAAAATTGGTATAGCGAGGACACGAACGACAAATGCATTACAATGCAACCTGAAAAAAATGCTCCCCCACCACTTTCTGATATTACGGATGCCAAAAATGTCCGGGATAAAAAAGGGTCTACATTTCAGCATGGATGTGCGAGTGTCCCATGTTGCCCCCGACATCAACAAAAACAATACTAAAAGCCAACCCTAGGCTATTCGCATAACAAAAATGAACCTTACTTCTCTGCCTTAAAAAAAGAAACTAACATTACATGTAACACTTTGTATGTGAAAAAGGTGCCTAAATAACTTCCTAACAGCCATAATTTTTAACAAACCCTCCCCCTCCCCCAAACAAATTTTAACAAAAAAGTAGTTAACCATATTCTTACTTCAGTCCCCCCTTAAAAAATTAGTGGACCCGCAGGTGCCTGCCTAGAGGTTTAAACCCTATAGTTACGCCACTGGTTAGGACTTAGCCTTGGCATGATCGCAAATAAACAATTTCTCGGGTACTCAGGCACTTCTGTGACCTATGGGTTCTATGTACAACAAATTCTACGAGCTGCATTTTGCCGGTTGAAAATGTACAGTGGGTTTTGTTAGGGGATGGGTTGATCGGTTTTTTTGCAGCACGGTGTTCACAAAGGATTTGATAGCTCGGAATCGAACGATTTCTGCTATTATTAACATCCTTTAAATTGGTCCATTTCATAAAATAAAAACATAATAGTGATGCTATGTGGCTTTAAACTCAAGGTTGTCTTCTTTTGAAATGTTTTGGTTTCCAAATTTTCACTTGGATTGTCACACTTTTTTTCATCCTCTTTGCTTTGTTCAAAGGTGATCTTTCTCAATTCAAGCGTAACCCATTTGTGGTTAAGGAAGGCGCCAAGTACAGGATTAAACTCATATTCAGGGTGAGTTGATTCTAATTTATATTGTCAGTGCCTGCCTTTCAAAAATTGCATCAATGGAAATGCAACAGCCACATTATGGATCGCGCTATTGTGCGTAGCATGAAGATTCAAATCAAATTTAGGATTAATAAAATCAAATTCAAGGTGAGTAGATTCTATCATTTCGGAGCCTGCGTTTGAAATATTGAATCATGGAAAACACACCAACCACAAATTTGGGGGATCATGTCCTTGCTAATGTGCACACCATGGGGCATGCTTGGAATTTTCTAAAAGGGAATATATAGACCTTAATCATTTGCAACATAAAACAATAATAATAATAATAGTCCATGGCCCATGCGTCATGTGAAATCATGGCAAGTGTGCTGTCATTTTCAAGAAAAGTGGGGTTTTTTGTACTGACCATCATTGGAAAAAAAAAATACTTTTTGATTCAAATACTGCCCCCATTTTACCAAGTTTAATAAGTCCACATTTTGTTTGAAGTTACACATCCGTGAACGGGTGGAGACCAGCTGATTCAGTTCCTGACCTGACAATTCCCCCTTTCGTAAGGTCAGGCAACTAGACTACAAGAACAGCTCGGTATTTTTCTTTCTTTCAGCATCAATGTATTAACACAAACTTTAACAGGTCAGTTCAATGACGATATTTGCTGCAATATACTCCGCCCAACTACATCCTTTCTGAAAAGTACAGCAAAAGAAAATGTTGTGTATTTCCTTTAACTCCCAATGCCGAGATAACGCCCTTTACCTTTCAGGCGGCTTGGCTGCACTTGCATGAATTAGCTGCATTGCCATCGAACAGGCATCAAATGGTCATCAAAAAGGCATCACATTCTTTTAGGCATCATTGGACATCAAAAGAGTAGCAATTTGAGCAAAGTTTATAAAGAAAAACATTAAAGGGCGTACATTCATCAGTCATCAAGAAACATATCATTGATGTAAAAATTATGACTGCTGATGTTCATCTGAAGCTCACGGCATTGTTTAGGCATCAATATAAGGTATTGGGAAGGCATCAAAAGTCATCACTGAGCATCAAGCATCACAGGCAGGTATCAAACAGGCATCAAACGGGCATCAAACAGGCATCAGAAGTCATCACTGACTGTCAGGCATCAAAGGGGCATCAAAGAGGCATCAGGGAGGGCATCATTAGTCATGACTGACCATCGAGCACTGAGGAATAAAGAGGCATCATAAAACCTGACTGGCCTTCGAGCATTGAGGCATCACACGAGGCAGCAGCAAGGCATCAAAATTATGTCATCACTAGCCATCAGGCATCAAAGGGGCATCAAAGAGGCATCCGGAAATCATTAAAAGTTATGACTGAACATCGAGGAATTGAGGCATTAAAGAGGCATCGATCAGCAAGGCATCAGAATTAAGTCATCACTTGCCATCAGGCATCAAAGGTGTATCAAAGAGGCACCAGGAAGGCAGCATAAAGGCAGCAGAAGTCATGACTAACCATCGAGCGTTGAGTCATCCAAGAGGCATCAGCAAGGCATCAGAAGTATGTCATCACTAGCTATCAGGCATCCAAGGGGCATCAATTAAAGAGGAACCAGGTATTAGATATTATGACTGACAATCTAGCATTGACGCATCAAAGAGGCATCAACAACACATTAGCGTTAAGTCATCACTAGCCATCAGGCATCAAAGTGGCATCAATGAGGCACCAGGAAGGCATTCGAGGTCATGACAGACCATCAGGCATCAGCAAGGCATCACGAAGCATCACGAAGGCATCATAAGTTATGACTGACCATCGAGCATTGAGGCATCAAAGAGGCATCACCAAGGCATCAGAGTTAAGTCATCACTAGCCATCAGAACTCAAAGAAGCACCAGGAAGGCATTAGAAGCTACGACTGACCATCGAACATTGAGGCATCCAAGAGGCCTCAGCAAGGCAACGAAATTAGGTCATAACTAGCCATCAGGCATCAAAGGGGCATGGATGAGGCACCAGGAAGGCATTCGTGGTCATGGCAGACCATCAGGCATAAAAGTGGCATCAAAGATCACGAGGAAGGTATCAGAAGTCACGAACTGACCAGCGAGCATTGAGGCATAAATGAGGCACCAGCAAGGCATCAGACTAAAAGTCATCTCTAGCCATCAGGCATCAAAGGGGCATCAAAGAGGCACAAGTAAGGCAATAGAAGTCATGAATGACCATCGAGCATTGAGGCATCAAAGAGTCATCAGTATTAGGCATCAGATTTAAGTCATCACTAGCCATTGGGCATCAAAGTGACATCAAAGAGGCAACAGGAGGCATTAGAAGGCATTAGAAACATCAAAGTTATATACAGATTATTAAGAAAATCTATAGGGAATATCATCCAAAAGACTTTACACCGAAAGCGAAAAGATCAATATTCAAAAAGGAGTCAAATAAGACAATTGTGTACAATATTGCATAAACTCTTCAGTGCCGCAACGCCTATTTCGGTAAATTGATGTATCTCACTTTATAAGGACATTTTGAGAAAAAGTAACTTAAATATTTAACCTATTATACCCAGTGGCGTAGCCATGGGGGGGGGGGGGGGGGGGGGGGACAGCCGCACCCCATGAAACCTTGTCGCCCCCCAAGTCGCCCACCACTGAGATTTGGAGTTTCTAAAAAACATTATCATTGATCTACATGACGCCCCCATGAAATGTTCCAGCCCCCCCCCCCCCCCAGCGCCCCCCCCCCCCCACTGAAAAATTCCTGGCTATGCCACTGATTATACCCAAAAGTTGCGCATTTTACCTGGCTCCAGATATCTTCGAGTAGTCTTCAAGTAGTGTTGCCAAACCTGAAGTACATGTTACAGACAGGACAGACAGGACAGACAGGACAGACGGGACAGACAGACAGACGGATAGATAGATAGATAGATAGATAGATAGATAGATAGATAGATAGATAGATAGATAGATAGATAGATAGATAGATAGATAGATAGATAGATAGATAGATAGATAGATAGATAGATAGATAGATAGATAGATAGATAGATAGATAGATAGATAGATAGATAGATAGATAGATAGATAGATAGATAGATAGATAGATAGATAGATAGATAGATAGATAGATAGATAGATAGATAGATAGATAGATAGATAGATAGATATATAGATAGATAGATAGATAGATAGATAGATAGATAGATAAAAAATTAAGGGTGGCATCAACCTACATTTCTTCTCCATCCCTTAACTAATTGATCTGACATGGTTGCCTGCTTTTACCACAAAATGCCGTCCAACGTGTAATATTCCACTTTGGCTGGTACATGGTCCATGCACTATACAGAGGTCGAGCGTGTGGCACAGGTTAAATGTCTGGGTTCCCTCAAGACAACGAACGGCGTCTGCTCAACAGACATCAAGAGCAGAATAACAATGGCAAAGAAGCGCACACTGGGTGAGGTGCCCATCTGGAAAGATAGAGGCGTCAGCAGGAAAGTCATACTCCATATAGTATGTGCCCTCATCTGGCATGTCCTGAACTATATATACGAGCTGCAGAGAAACGCGCTCTTAGGGCTGTTAAAATGTGGGTCTATCGCAGGATTCTCCGCTTTACCGGGAGAGACAAACGGACCAATGACAGCATCCTCTAGGAGCTCAGCACCACAAGAACCCTGCTCGCCAATATGAAAACCACGAAACAGCTTCTTTGGCACGCACGAAGGACAGGTGGTTTGGCTTGGGACATAATTGCTGGATACCATCCAGGGAAGAGGCGGAGAGGCCGGCCATGGCGACAGTATATAGCTGACATCCGCAACTGGACAGGTCTGTCGCTTGGGGCTGCAGCCCGATCGGGCAAGGAGAAAACATCTCGGAGGAATCTGGTGCGGTTGGCTGCCAGAGACGGGGAAGGCTAATCTCCGTTAGCGGAGGCATACAGAAGATCAAGGATGAGAGCGGCACAGGCCCTCGCCAGCTTGGGAAGGCCTTCACCTTGCAGTGGGCAGATAACGGTTGAGAATGATAATGATGATGACTTCTGCACTCAGGCGTGTGGTCCGAACAGAATAGACTTAAAGTAAGGTTTTTCGTGATTCTTGAATAATTGTTGTCTTTATTTTTTTTGGTCGGTATCCAATAAAGGTCCAACGTGAGGGTGTCTCTGGACTGCGGTATTTTGAAGCTGTTTACAGAAAAGGCATCAGAGGTGAGTGAATGTACGGACATGCAATTTGTCGCTCACCCGGTGTTGCATTTTGATTTTAGTCACACAATGACCCACATATCGTCTTTTATATATTGTCTTCGGATGTTTTCATTTCATATTATGCGTTGTTTTTGTGGCCCCTACACTTACACTTACACTTATAAAGTGTCGTCTTTTGTTATTATTTGTTTTATTTTGTATTTCGTAGCTTTCATACATTTTTGTTTAGTTTTTGTTTTTCATACCGTGTTTGTTCATTGTGTATTGTTTTGGTCGAATAAATCATAAAAATAATAATAATAATAATATCCAGTCCAGTCCCAAGGCCTTTCACAAGCTGTTGAAATGACCTCTGACTAATGCATTCTTTTGTTATTAGTCATCCTCTACAACGTATGACCAGATTTTTAAAATGTATATGTGATTTTTGTGAATGGACTTGTAGTGTACTGAACTTGAATAGAACACTGCATGGGTGCGCCTTTTTGTGAGAAAACACCCGTAGTACAGGGCAACCATCTTTTTTCTGGACCCCCCCCTCCAAAAAAAAGTCTCAATGTGACGCGACATGGTGCCCTAATTAATAGCTGCCTTTTCTTTGTTTGTGCTGAGGAACCATCGCAGTTAAGGGTATTGCTTAGGGATGCAAAATCCATGATCACTTGTAAATCTACTTTAATTAATGCTGAAAATGGATAGAACAAAATAGGGTGTAGGGAATTTCTAGAAATGCTTGAATTTTAAGTTCTAGCCTATTTTAAATAGGCTAGAAGGATGTTCTGGCAATATTTAACACCGTCCACATTGAAACACAAAATATCAAAAAAAACAATGTGCCCAACCTAAAAATTGATTGAAATTTTCATTACAAATTGCTGAGTCATGTACCCCCGAAACCCCACTTAGACCAAAAAGTAATACCTATGGCGATTTTAGAGACATTTTTACATTTTACCTTCCGGTCTATCGATGCGCATGTGTGCAAGAGTTTGAATTTGTTAGGAAACTGGTCTATTTCGAAGTCCCATACAAGGGCGGATCCAGAACAACTTTTTTTGGGAGGGGCAGGAAATCTTCTTCACCCAAAAACTGGGTCCAAAATTTTACGGCGTGGGTTTCGGTGCCGCTTAAGGGCCCCGATTTTTTTAGGGGGGATTTTAGACGCTCTGTGTGTACTTTGTCCAATTTATTTTCGAGCAAAACGTGGTGGTGTACGCAGTGGATGCCTTTTTACGACTGCGCTTTAAAAAAATATGAGCACTTTTTTGGAGAAGGGGGGGGGCAGGGAGCATGACCTCCGCCCCCCACGCCGTAATTGTTTGGACCCACTTTTTTGGGGACCAAAATTTTTTTTGGGCCCCCCAAAAAATTGTGTTCTGGATCCGCCCTTGGTCAGTCGGTCGGTCGGTTGGCTGGCTCCTCAAATCCAGGAAATGCAAATAACATGTACAGTTTGAGTAAAAAAAAAAGCGGAACGCCAGCCCCCAAAAACATATTTTATATTTAAATAGTATGTAGCACCGAAACTAATAATGACTGTAAAGCTAATTTCATAGAACGCAATTTTAGATTTAAAAAAGTACTGAAATTGCTCGAACCTTTCAAAGAATATTACCATTTAAATACGGTGATCCTAAAACTTAAAATGCGATTTCAAGAATAGTCGTCACAATTGTCTTCAAACATCCTCAGCGATAAAACCTTAATTTAAAACTCAAAAATATTAAACAAAGCTCTTTTGAAGGCCCGTCTTCTTTGTTTTATTTTAAAGTGGATTGTAGAAGTGATATTGTTTGCCTAAGCAGGGTTGTTAGTAAAGATATTGTGTACTAAAGTTGTTGACAGTTGTTAAAACAGGTATTCCGTGTCATTATCTTTGTTGTTCCAAACAGGACACAATATATTGCTCTCTCTTTTGGACGAAACGCTTTTTAGGGTCATTGCGTTTAAATGGTGATATAGGCCTATTCTACGAACGGATTATGCAATTTCATTTTTTTTTTTTATCTAAAAGCAGTTTCTGAAATTGGTTTTACAGTCATAATTATTGTCGGTGCTACAAATTTTTACTATTTTTTTTTTGGGGGGGGGGGTTGGATTCCGCTTTTTTTGACTCACCCTGCATAAGCCAGAGTTGTAATGAGTCACTGATTTTAGTGACTCGAGTCGAGTCGAGTCATTTTAAAGAAGTGACTCGAGTCGAGTCAAGTCATTAGGTCAAGACGGTCGAATTGAGTCGAGTCGAGTCACAGTGTGTGGACGAGTCGAGTCGAGTCGAGTCGAGTCAAGTATTTAGCTCTAGTTAATTCGAGTCACAGATATTTGAGCACTATACAATCAATAAACACAAGAGTGAAAGTCATTTTTTTTAGCCTTTTAAATTTTACATTCGGGCTACTGCTAAGGGGGTGCCAGCTGATCGTCATTCAACTAATGGGGACACTGATCAAACCACGTATGTAATATGTATACATTATTCGCGAACATTCTAACGTGACGTGAAAAAAACCGGCACCGGCGTAAGTCATTGCAAATATTTTTCGCAAAGTTTTGCTTATGTTTTTGGGATTCGAGTCTCAATAGCCTTCCTCGAGTCGAGTCATTCTGATGAGGGACTCAGTCGAGTCGAGTCATTTGCTCGCAGACACTCGAGTCGAGTCGAGTCATTTGCCCTTAGGGACTCGAGTCACCAAAAATTGTGACTTGAGTCGGACTCAAGTCGAGTCATTACAACTCTGGCATAACCCCAATCAACCACTTGTTCTTTGCAGTGGACAAGGCCAATTTTATGGTTGGGAGTTACAGACCCAAAACGGAGGAGCACATCTTCCAGAGTCCCGTGGATGAGTTACCCGCGGGTTTGTTAGGCCGTGGTGACTATATTGTCAAGAGTAAATTCACAGACGATGACAAGAATATCTACTTGGAGTGGGAGTGGAGTTTCTCCGTTAAGAGAGATTGGGAATAAGATTATAGTGATGATTTCCTACAAAGGAAATTGGTCTACTGGAAGTGCGGTTTACTTGTAGATGATGCTGTTGGTTTTTGAAGGGGTACATCATGAATGTGAAATTCTTAATTAAATTTATGTTATCATGGTTCAGCAAGTATAGGGATTATGTTAGTTAAATGTATGCCACAACATATACAATGAATATGTAATTGATTTTTTTCCCAAAGTGGCACTTTTTTTTTGAAGGAATTAATTGTGGCATTAGTCATCAGCATTGCCAATGATGACTTTTTTTTAGTCTCTCAGAAAAAGGAACTGCATGTTTCCCCCCCCCCAAAAAAAAAAATGTGTACATGTATATGGATGCCATCATCTATGTACAGAACAAAACAAATGACGTATACTTGTTTTGTATGAACATTGCCTTTTCTCATTTTATCAGAGCAACTTGTACAACTCTTTCATTTTGTGGAAGTCTATAAAACAACGCATTTATTAGGAAATACATTTTGATGATGCTATTTGTTGTAATCGCTTATTAAGTTACTTTTGGGAATAAATGATACATGTTAGTTGTATAGCAGGCTTTATTTTATCTTTGCAGCCTGCCTCAGGCTGTAATTAGACTATTTTGCCATAGATATAGATATTTTCTGTTGTTATATTTTAATTGTTAAAGGTTTGGTTTAATATATGGTTTTGCTTTAGGTGCATAATATGATGTTATATTTCCGCAATGATGTATGGCTTGTTTGCCATAGTAGTGATCTGGTGTCTTCTATGTTGTCATCTAATTCATGGAGATTTTGACCAAGCGCTTTGGGAACCTGGTAACATAAAGCCACCAGTATTACAACAGTTGCATGCCTACCACCCGGCAAGCTTTTTTTGTCAGCACTAGAATGTAGTTTCTTTAACGAAAGCATGGAATACATTACCTCATCAAATAACGATCAGCCCATGTTGGCATAAATATCAAGATGAGGGCAACAAACGAGGACCAAAATGACACGTTATTTGAAAGCATCTGTGTACTTTAACAATGTAGTAGTTTCCATTTTGGATTGGCGAAGCCCCCTATACCTTGGAAGTGGGCCAGAGGCATGCGTATTGATTTTCCTGAAGCCCTTTCAAAGAAGTCTGTTAATGGTCATTGTCTATAAGCCATTTGCATTCTGCACACAAATGGTAATGTTATATATTTCACTAGGTTAGTTTTGAATCAATATCAGGTACAATGTAGAATCATTCCACATTGATACTTTGTCTACCATGTCTATATAGAAAGTAATCTTGATTCTATATAGTTTACCATACTCAGGAACTAGTCGGTTAGGGTCGGTAGTGAGTAGCAAATGAGTAGCACTTCAACTTTCATGGGTGTTTTGTTTGGTTTGTTTAAAGAAACCTCGTGCTTCCCGTCATTGAACTTTAACCAAGTTGAAAAAAAGTCGAACATTCCATTTTCAAAGTGCTGACTAAGTTCAGCACGAAATCCAATCAGCACCTGCAAGTTACCCAATGATATTTAAAACTACAAAAGCCTATGTTACACAAGGCTCTATACAGGGAAAATCACCATCGTGCGCTTGACAAAAACAACTTACAAAACTGTCATACTTTTTATATCAAGTTATCCATATTGGGCCTTTTAGTTTTGAAAATAATTTCAACTGGATTCAAGTTTTCTATGCCTCTTCTGTTAGATTAGCCTATATGACTTAATTGGATGCAGTCGCAAATGAAACGAAAGTCAATGTCTACCTTATACTCGTAATCATGTTTTAGTTTGGTACAGGAATGGATAGATAAATAAATAAATAATGCTTATATCTTTTTGTGAAAGAGTCTTTTAATTTGTTCCATATAAGGTCTGCAAACATCTGTTTAAAATCTGTTAGTTGGGGACGCTAGTTTGGTGCACAAACAGCAACACCCCGCCCCTACATTATCGATGCTGATAGTGGCGGGTTTAATTATGGTCTACCCTACGAGAACTGACCCGCTTACCGTGGTCAACGTTGACCGTTGGCTTCGCGACTGTCAGACCGTTGGTCTGGCGAAATATTAAACGTTGGATATGTTGGTTCGGCAATTCTTCTGGACGTTGGGCCATCAACGTTGGATTAACAAAAAACAAGTTGGCGCAACATTATTTCGCCAACTTTAGGCGACGTATCCCCCCATCCTGCCAACTACGCTCATACATACGACGCATTGTAACGTCGGCCCGACCAATTTTTGACGTTTGGCCAACGTCGAATACATGCAACTGTTTCGTCTGAACAATGTTGACAGCCGACGTCAAATATTACTAATAACTTCTGAACAACAACGTTGGCAAATCAACCTCATAATAGTATACGAACCGATCGTCAACGATGGCATATTATAATAGCAGGCCGACGTCGAAAATTAGGCCTACAGACTTTTTACTAACTATATTGAACAACGTTGGCAGGCCAACCTCAAAATACAAACTGATCGTCAGTGTCGGCACAATTAACGTACGTTGGAAGGCTGTCCTCGAAACTGTTTACCGTCGTCACCGGCAGCTGTCGGCCGGCCAGCGTCATTACCGATCACCAAGTGTTAGCCAGAACGGGCAGGCCAGGCCGACGTCAGCAAAATGTTTGCATGCGACGTCTTTAATTAACGTAAGTACAACGTTGGCAGGCCGACATTAAAACATATATACACCCGACCGATCGTCGACATCAAAATATATACACACCCGACAGATCGTCAAAGTCGGCAATAATATACCGCGGAACTAAAAACAGATCAGGGGCGTCAATCGCTTCTTAAAAGTTGGGGATATACCTTGATCAGAACTAATGCGAGCGCGAAGCGCGAAGCCCCTACAGCGTGGGGGGGGGGGGTTCGGGGCCAAGTGCCGCGAAAAATTTGATTCTAGACACTCTCCGTGGTGCGATCTGAGGCAATTTCTGACCACTTTTTTTTTTTTTTGCAAAAGACAATCATTTAAACCACATTTTCGAGGTTGAAGTCATTGAATCAGCTATATTCTGAGCTATAGACGTGGGGTTCTGGGCAGGCGCTTAAGAGGGCCCTGTAGGTCCTGAAATCCCTGGAAAACTGTTTTGGGTCGTTTACTTATCCTAATTCGAACATCTTGTTCAAAAGAACCAACCTAATGTCTTACCGTTAGCGAGAAAAGACGATAAAACCCCGGGTGTTTACAGCGCACCCTACGGAGTACACTCTAAAAAAGCATTAGTCAGTTTCGACTAGAAACCAGTGAAATTCGACTAGCTATTCAGGGTCAGCTGGGTGCAACTGAAAATCAGGCAATCTGACTAGATATTTCCAGTCAGTATTAATATGGGGAAAAATAGTTATGCAAATAACTGAATTTGGAGTCGAACCCAACTACTTTTCAGTATGAAACTTTGCATGTTTAATTAAATTCCTACAGTCAATTTTCAATAACTAGGAAAACCAGTCAATATTTTGACTAAGTAGTTTTAAGAGTGTAAAAATACACATTTCCTGTCGCTTGGTCAATGTACTTTGTACGATACATGTTGTGTGTGTCAATACAGCACCGTGCTCGCGAGCAGTGACCAATCACCAATGCTCAAAATGAGGGTTCTACGGTCTGCAAAAGGCGAACACTTGTTTCAAACATTTGATATTGTAAGTGGGGGATTGACGCCCATGATGCAGACTGTTGGCGTACCATTCCGATTGTAAGTTTACACAACGTTGGCAGGCCGGGAAAAAAAGTCGTCGATTATACACTTTTTACCAACGACAGAACAACGATGTCGGGTCGACTTTAATGGACCGCCAGCGTCGGCATATCCGCATACGTCTGCAAGCCGACTGCGACTGTTCCAACATTGACCGATGTTGGGCCAACGTATATTCACCTGACGTTGGTTAACATATTAAAGTATGGCATATTCGACATCGGTCCCTTTGAAACTAATCTGAGTATCACCCGTTATCCACGGAGCCAAATCCTGTACAACGTCTGACATCTCCTGACATTTAAATTTATGCAAGCCGTGCGCCAGCCAATCGGAGTCAACTTTACTAAATCGTGACGTCATTTCATTCCTAAATCAGGACTAAACGATTTGATTGGTCAATTCGAATGCAGTGTTTTGTAATGCAACAACTGCCGGGCACGATATCGCGTATTACTATACCTCATACATATTCATGATTGAGAGCCGAACTCTCACTGGTCAATTCATCAACACGTGCCAGATGTTATTTTTTGCTGTTTACCAAGTGCGCGCGAGGATTCACGCACAGGGTAAATGCGCATGCGTAGTAGACCGTCGCACGGGTTCGCTCGTACCCCCACCCTGCAAACAGGACACCTCACAGAATCTTGTGAAGGAATTGGCCTATATATGACATATGTATCAAGCATCTGGCTGCAGCTGTTCAAAACCGCAGTTAGACAATGTGCGAGAATATTATCCGAAAACTACCCATAGAAATGCACACGTTCCATACCGGATGTGATTTCTGTTTCATTGCGGACCATGTGGACACAATTTTGAGCGTCGATTATTCGCTCGTACCCCCTGCCCTGAAAACAGGGCGCTGGGAAGGGCAGATGAGCTTCACAGAATGTTGTGAGGGAAGTGGGGATGGCATTCTGGGTAATTTATCATGACCTATGTATAAAGCATGTGGCTGCAGTTGTAGACCGCGGTTAGCCAATGCGTGCAAATGCTATCCGAAAAGTTTGCCATTGAAATGCATACACACAATACCGGATGTAATTTCTTTTTCATTGCGGACCATTTTGAGCGTCGAATGATATGCATTTCGATCCTTCGTACGTGAATTCGAAACGGAGCCTGATTTGAGCAACTGACGGGAGTTGAAAATTTACAAAACAGATACGTTTTACAGATTTTCCTACATTATACTACAACGGAAGATTGAGGGTTCGAGTCCCTTCGTGGTCGCCAAATGTTACCCCCCCCCCAACGGCCACGGGAGCAGCCGCTGCAGAGTGTTCATTAAAAAGACTGCAAAACTGCAAGAATAAAGACAAATGGACACTGGTTTAGCTTGGTGTGTGGTAAATGTTCCTGACTCATCGAAGTCTTAAATCAGAATCACAACACAATAGTAAAAACAAATGCAAAAAATAACTCAATAAGGCCAACAAAAAAAAGTCTCCGGTTTCTGGTATGGAGCTTGCCCAAAAAGTGGTGCGGCGACGCGGCTTTTTTTTTTTTTAACCTGACTTTTTTGCTTCAAATGTCGGCTGATGACTTCAAATGGTGCCCGAGTCCAGAGAGGCCACACAATGCTTATTCTCGATCATAACCCATCTAAAATCACGTTTAAAGTGTGCAGCAGCAGGATTCCAGTCAAACCAGTGAGTTTGGCGGTTTTGAGACATCATCTTTCGTTGAAAAAAAAACTTTTTCATTTTGCCGACGCGCATGGCTACGGCGACGCGCGCGCATACCAGAAACCGGAGACTTTTTTTTTGGCCTAAGCATGATTCGAAAATCGACTCTGGTATCGATAATAATATCGATTCTGTCCTGTTTCTGAATAAACATAATCGATTCTATCACCTAAATCGATACTGACCATGTCTCAACCTCACTGTTTATCTCTAGTCCAGGACTGACTCACTACTAATTGTTATGCATGAGTGCTTCCCATGCTGTGCTCTAACTATCAAAGAACTCATGCACATGTACAATACATACATGTCATCTAGCAGTACAAAATGTCCTGAAGTACATGTATGGAATAAGCCAAAAAAGGGTAAAGTCTATCAGGCCAAAAAAAAGTCTCCGGTTTCTGGTATGGAGCTTGCCCAAAAAGTGGTGCGGCGACGCGGATTTATTATTTTTTTTACCTTTTTTTTTTTTTTGGCTTCAAATGTCGGCTGATGACGGCAAATGGTGCCCGACTAAACTTAGAGTGCAAATATATGGGTGTCCAGAGAGGCCACATAAAGCTTATTCTCGATCATAACCCCATCTAAAAACACATTAAAATTGTGCAGGAGCAGGATTCCAGTCAAACCAGTGAGTTTTGCGGTTTTGAGACATCATCTTATATTTAAAAAAAAAAAAAAAAAAAAAAACATTTTGCCGACGCGCATGGCTACGGCGACGCGCGCGCATACCGGAAACCGGAGACTTTTTGGGGCCTAATAGGGAAATCACTGTCGTCAATAAAATAAAATAAAAAGGAGTAAGCAAAGAAATTGTTCTTAATTATTCTGAACAATTTCAAGCGTGAAAGCTTGTCACAATGTCACTCTCCATAGAGTGGGACAATATAAAAGTTATAAATGGCACCGTCAAAACTAGCTCTGAAGAACCTGGCAACTTCAGTCTAGTATAAGCAAGTCAAAAGCTACTTAATATCTCTAGGAGCAATCTCGATTAAACCTGGGCGGAAAGTACTTTCTTGTAAGTACCAAGTTACAAAATAGTTGAAGGGAACGCCGTACCTTTCCAACTTATCTTTTCCATTAAAAGACAATCCAGAAATTAACAATGACTACACATAATTAGCAGGCAAAACAGGAAACATTTATGAAGGCAAAATTGAGTAAAGGCTAAAGTATTTGTCTATGTACTCTGGCACACTCTGACCGTGTGTTTTCTTAAAGACAAAGAAGCTAAGAGTTTAGCAGACTCTGGCATTACTTTTAACTAAACTTTACATTCTGACACAAAATGTACATGTTTCCTCTCTTCACTTCCATTATCTGTCATCAAGATAAAAATGAAAAAGAATACAACATACCTGCAAGAATACAGACGAATGGACACTGGTTTAGCTTGGTGTGGTGGTCAATGTTCCTC